GCAGATAATGAGATTCAAAGACTTTTATCAGCTGATTGAAACCCAGCAATAGAATTCTTTCTGGTTGACAGCACATGGTGGTCAGTGTTTGACCAACATTTGGAGCAGATAATGAGATTCAAAGACTTTTATCAGCTGATTGAAACCCAGCAATAGAGTTCTTTCTATTGACAGCACATGGTAKTCAGTGTTTGACCATCATTTGAAGCAGATAATGAGATTCAAAGACTTTTATCAGCTGAGTGAAAACCAGCAATAAAACTGAATAAATACTGAGCTGGATTAAGTGAAAGTGACAACATGAATATACCATCTATGGAATAACTCTCTTTATTCCCCCTCGAGACCCACCTTTGCTATATAATATTCTTATGCATCTGAGCAACAACTTACGTTTGAAAATATTTAATTTGATTTTATTTAAAGTGCTATTGTATTATTCCAGTTGATATTTATATTATTTTCTCAAGCTGAACAATTTTTTAACTTTTGATTGCTATAAGGATTTTTAGTGATTTTTTAGTGAAAAAAATAAAATTCAACAATGTCTCTGTAGAATGTAAAGTTGAAGGTGTTATGGATGCACTAGAGTAGAGTGTATGCCATATATCCGTGAAACAATATATATCTAGTTAGGGTGATCATGGGGACTGGATTTTGAGGAAGTTTGCAAACAACAACACAGGGATCCCAGTTTAGATAAATGTGACAAAAATAGAATCTGGAAAGTAGATCATTTATTGAAGATAATGGTTAGATGCCAACAACTAAACGTGTTAAGAATATACGAAAACTGGAAAATCTTTGTTTTCCAATAAAATTCGACTAGAGTGACCACGTGAAAGACCACACCCTGCTTAGACTTATTTTATTTTATTACAATGTTCTGTAGTCATCATTGCTGTCCATGCTTGTTGTGGCCTTCTTTGGTGACTACTTTCCTTGGTGACAGTCCGTTAGCCAAGAATGTATTACAACCGTAACTATAACTTGGCCTGGCACACTCGAGCACCTTTTTTAACATATCTTTCTTCCCTTTTTCCTTTCAAACATCCCTCCCCCCACCACACACACACACACACACACACAATTCCTGGATTCGCCCCCTAATATTGCTGTTTAAAGTCATATAAGTAATGTTATGAAGGGGATACGATGCCACTTAACAGTTATTTGAAGACAGGTTGGTTTAATTTGTTGCATGTGGTGCACCAAGCCCGAACTGCACTATGGGTGATGTGAATTCCATGGGCAAAAGTTCACAACGATATGGAATTTCGTACATGTTTTCCGGCATAATTAGCTTTGTGCTGACACTTTGTTATTTACATATGAGTGTCACACATTTAAAGCTTTGTAAGCAGCACTTTATACAAGATGCAGCGGTTCAAGATGTAACATGCCCCATGCAACAAAACCTTCACCAACCTTTGAAACAGCTTGAAACAGCTGTAAATGCCTCATATATGCCTGATACAAAGTTATATAGTGGACATATTAGTTTGTTAGTCATTCGGAGTTATAAGGGAAGTGTTACTCCATTTCTTGCTTAGTAACGCCCAGTTTGACTTCTTCGTCTTCGTTTGATAAAATCGTGTAAAAACTTTCTGGTTTGTCATCTTCATGATCGAATAAGTGTATCACCTTGGTGGCCTGAAGATGGAAACGAAAGTCAAGACATTACACATGGTTTCGATCCCTGGACTCGCAATCCGGAATATGTGCGAATATAGATAGTTGCTTGATAGTTCTCTCATATGCTTTGTGGGTTTTGCTCCGGTTTCTCTGGTTTACCTCCCACCGCAAAATTCAACCTCGATATTCTAATTCAACATGGAACGTTGGCCACTTATTTCATTTGTGTTTGCAAACACCACCCCACCCCCACATTTCCCTTTCTTTAAACCGCAGGCAGCCTTAGTTATGAATTAGTATTCAAGCAAAAGAAAATAATGGATAGACTGTCTGCGTGTGGTCAAATCGGTTGCCCTCAAAAATCGTTTATCTGCTAATGCAACAAGGCATTTTACATATGGTCAGTTTTTACACTTAGGAAAATAAAGCTCTTGTTCATCCACAGGTATCTTCGTCCCAAAGCGCTTTATATCAAGAGAGCATAAATAAGAGAGGGAAACTTCTTAAAAACGCGCTCACCATGTTACTTCCCAGTTGGGCTATTTTTAGTAACCGGATGCAGTTGAAATTTCGCCTTACCCCTCTCCCGTGCGTCATCAACTTGCGCGCGTGTGCTCTTCCTGTTTATTGTTTTGATCGCCATTTGATCGCTAAAAACGAAATGGAAAGAGAGAGCGCATGCAAGTTCATGATGAAACAGTAGGGTAAGACGAAAGGAGCTCCTTTGCTAAGACGAAATTTAAACCGCATCCGCTTACTAAAAATGGCCCAACCGGGAACTTACATGGCGCGCGCATTAATAAGACATCTCTATTAAGAAGTTTCCCTCTCTTATTTATGCTTTCTTGTTCATGTAAATAACATGCTACACGGGAAAGATTCTACTGTTCCATTGAATATGGCTGGCATTGGCTTGTGGTGAGTCAATACGACTCACCACGGATAACCAATCCGACATTATCGACATCATCCTGAATACGACAGCTCACCTAGAGCGCGCGGGCGTTTTGGCGCGAAACTTCCCACCTAAACCACAGGAACTCCGTAAACAAAAGCCAACTATTTATTCATTTAAAGCGTTCCATAGTCCATGTCTATACTCACCACAAACCAAGCAGCAAAGGCTCCAAAAATAAATCCCCCCAAAACATCGGTCCAGTGGTGATAATAGTCTCTTATCCTAGATAGGCCAACAGCCAATCCAAGAAGGAGAAGAATAGACTGGAATAGTGTTCTGAGTAGCTTATATTTACGCAGGCACACAACAGCTTGGAGGCAAATCTGGACGAAGGAAAGGGTTGAAAAAACTGTAACCACGGTAACTGATAAAATGACTAGATATTAAAATTGTATCCGTATTCAAACTTGATAGGCGAAAAAACGGAAAGCTTTAAACTTTGACGGTAACGCATGCTGATCTTATTTCAATACATGCATCGAGAGTTCCCTTTTTGACCCCTTGAACATGCGCTCATAAAGCAGTAGTACGAAACTCTTAATGAGTTCGGGTTTTGTTCCTCAAGTTTGCCTTAGAGACCGCGTTCCACTTGGTCAGCAAGCATCGAGGTGTCAAGATTGGGCCCCCAGCAGTTTTTAGGAAGCGCTCAAAACTTGTATTATTCGTTCGGTCTTCTGTGTTTTGTTTTTCTTCGGCTCGCTCGCTAAACGCGTGTTTGTTTGTTCATTTCATTCATTGTTTCATAAACAAAAAGAGAGTGAGAAATAAGAGAAAATACTTACAGCTATAAAGACCAAACAGTAAGCTGAACAAGACGTGTGTCCTGAAGGGAAAGACATCCTACAAACGAGAACAAATATCATTATCATCACAGAACTAAAGTCATTTTTTGCATCCAGCAACACTCTCATTGAAATTTTAGAATTGTTTTCGTTCCTATTCCCATTCCCATTCCTATTCCCATTCCTCGTCCTCCCTAGTCCCTTATGGTAAAAGCAAAAAATATTTTTGGAGAAAGAGGGAGGAAGAAATTTTGCTAATTTGATTTCAAAACCTGCCTTGCATTCTTGATTTTCAGAGGGTCGCCCGTACAGACATCAGCTGTAATATATCCAGTACTGCAATTGAACAGGGTTGCGTTGGGTTTGCACACGGCAAGAAAATGAGGTCTCAATCGACCAGTGAGGACTTTAATGATATCGGTGAGCGGTAACAGTATTGCCATGCCAAAACCAAACATGGCCATGCGATGTAACATCCTGTGAAAAGAATGCATTGTGCAGTAAGTCAACCAACATGGCGAGTGCGATTAGCCTTTCCGAAGGTTGACAGAGAAACGGGTCGAGATGGCACTGCAGTTCACCTTAGGACTGTTTTAGGGGAAGAAACAGACGCCTTTTTGAAAATATGTTTCCTTGATTATTCTTCTCTTATGCCCCGTCCACACGTATCCGGAAATATTTGTATCTGCAAATTTTTTTCTGCGGATACGAAAATGTTCGCGTCCACACGCAGCGTATTCGAATCGTTTTCGGATCGTTTTCACTGTCCACACGTATCCGTATTCGGAGCGTATTTCTTAAGGTTAGATTTTGTTAAATTGTTTAGAAAACCAATCTACTGTCATTTTAATCCTATTTATTGTTATTGCTATTGTTATTTTCAAACGGTGCGGAACGCGGCTTAGAAACCAAAGCTTTTGCTTCTCATTAACTATGGCTTGGCAGACTGCTTGAAAACCGGTGCAACTTTCCGGCAAAAGCGGATACGCGTGGATGAAGTCGAAGTTGATTCGAAATTACAACGCATAGATGAGATATTTTTTGAAAACGAAATAAAACATTTTCATCAGTTGATATTCAGATACGTGTGCCAGTAAAAGGTACCTTAGTAACGTATTTGTTCGTCATCGCAGTCCCAATTTTCCTGAATTCCTTACCTTATGATGTAAATCGGTACGACAACTGGACCAACTTTCGTTCCATCGTCTTCTGTCTTACCGCCATTTGACTTTGATTTTGTGTAGTGGTTTCCAACCTCGAGCGCCATTATCTGAGTAATAGGAAATAATTCATGAAAATTGAACTATAGGATATTGTATAATGAAAATTATCGTTACTAATTTTGCATAAGCATGTGATATAATTTTAAAAAGAAAACCTAAAAGATAGCCAAGAAGCTATATCGTGGATAAGTCCCTTCAATTAGCCGATACTGCGAATATGTTTTACGCTGTGGCTGTTCTTACGGTAACCGTACGCCGACTTGCAATTTCTCTTCGTATGGATATTTAAATATTTTGATAGTTTTTTAAATATGACAAAAATATATCAGAAAGCAAGCATACCAGCGAATTCACTTCGTGGCTGAGTTTAGGGTTAGTGTTAGGTTGAGGGTTAATGTTAGGTTGAGGGTTAATGTTGGGAAAGGCATGGTAAGTCATTTGGTGCCAAGGGTGCCGTGTTCAAATCTTGCCTGCCATTGAATTTTTTTTTCTAAGTGAAGAGAACCAAAATCCAACGCTAATTAAATATCCGTACGAATAGAAATTGCAAGTCGGCGTACGGTTACCGTACGAATAGCCACTGGCTATGTTTTATATATAATTGAAGATAAACTAACAAAACGTTTTTACTAGAAGATTCAACAAGTGTACAGTTCTTACCATTGCCAAAGATAAGATTATTCCAGCGGATAAAATCCCCGTGAACGACAAAGACTCCTGCCCATATGGTTTCATGATGGATTCATCGTCGCAAAAGAATCCTCGCTTGAACGGCCGGACGCCATTTTCAGTAAGGTTTACATACTCGTTAAAAACAGCATCAAAGATGATAACTCCAAAGAAACAGAAGATTTCGATGGAGATGCATAAACAGCTTGACATTGTGCTGGTGATGCTTTTAGCTCAGAGATGGTATATGTACATGGCTTGTTAGTCTGAGGATCAGCTCGGGCTCTCTTTAAATATGCAAATTTTTTTTTTGTAGTTTTGTCAAGAGTGCATCAAATTTGAATTTCTAAACAGCTATTAAGCCAGTGTGGTAGAAAAGCTCTTTGACTTCTCGAACAAGTTTTATGAATTCAAATTTTCTTCTTAACGTAAAAATATAATTGATTCAGCAATTTTTGTTTGTGCATTAAAATAACTAAGAACTTTTCGTATTTTCGAAAGCTTTAATGCTTAAAAAGCATCAAGTAAATTGAATTGTCCACAGGGAGCCCGGCTTTGGGATTTGTACATGAATAAATGAATCAATAAAGTGCTTTGGGTTTCCTGTGTTGAGATTTGAAACAAGACGCTGATACGTTGAATTTCCGGTAATCGTACTACCAGTAACTTGATAGCAAATTAACGTAACACATCAGTGTAACGCACGCCCTAGTATATGGTAAGAAAGAGAGAAGGGCTGAAACTGAATTTGAGTACCTATTTTGAAACCGCCTTTAAAATAATTCGCCAGGGTTTATTACAAGCAAATACAGCACCAAACGATCACATGACAAATAAACTTGACGACAGCATGTCCTATTTATAGGGAATATTAATCTGTGACACACAAAACAATGATATTTGTAAGCCATACTTTAAATGTATGTGGACCAGTGGTTGATGGGACCAGTTAGCTCTACTACCGTGACCTCTCTGGTAAATATCCGCTTTCAAACAATAGACTTTGACAGATTCATGACAGTTTCATTGAAATGCAGCATTCTATTTTTATTGTCCTTTATATTATACATAGGTTCGTTTTCCGCCTCGCTCTAAACGAACTTTCTGGCGTACCACAGAGGGGAAATGTCCTTTTTCTTTATCAGGAACTCCATTTTCTTTCCCCAGAACTTTGCAGAACATTTCAATTAACCTTGATAGTGGAACCTGGGATTCCGCTCCAGATACAGAAAAGTTTTTCAAAAGCCTGAAGAAAAAAATATGAGATTTTAAATCCTGACGACGAAATTAACGGTCAAATATTTTGAAAAATATACCTTACTCACCATAACATAAAGTATTGTGCTCCTTGAATATTTGATTTGTTTTCGTTTGATTCCAGATTCTGATTGCCAGCACTCGTCATGTTGACATTCAGACTGCTTTCCTCTAAAGCTCATTAGCACTGATCCCATCAACCGCTGGTGCACATGTAACGATAAACTTGCCTTGTTTCAGCCCTTTTCTCTTTCTTACCATTTACTAGGGCGTGCGTTACGCTAATACGTTAAATTTGAATTATAAGCTGCTCTCGAATTACTTACATTAATCTGCTATCAAGTTACCAAATCTCAATACAGGAAACCCAAAGTACTTTATTGAGCTATTTATTCATGTACAGATTCCAAAGCCGGGCTCCCTGTGAATTGTCGTGCATGGTTGATTGCCCTATTTCACTTTGACGTCACATCAAAACAATCTATTGTTCAAAGGCAAAGGATCATGGTCGTCGGAGGGGGTCAAATCAACGCAAATTCACCGAAAATTGTTCTAAAATCCGTATCAATCCACGAGCCAGCAAACGCTCAGAACATTTTTAGCACATATTAACACATATTATATCTGAAAACCAGGCCATTTTAGATTAAACTGTTTCGCTAGGAGCAAACTGTTCCCGACAACTTGTTCACGACAACTTGTTCCCGACAACTCGTCCCCAACAATTCGTTCCCGACAACTCGTTCCCGACAACGCGCGACCCCTATCGGCTTCCGTACTCTCCCCTGTCAGTATCAATGCTGATTCCATGCGCGGACAAATTCTAAATTGTTAGTGCGTAATAGTTTTTATAAAGTGACCCGAATGGTCTACGAGTCAATGCGGGCCGATGAGGCCGAACTGACCGCCTTATTTCAAWTTTTTTTTCATTTCTGAACTTTTTTGAAACATTTTTCATTGCTTAATTTCTGTTCTTTTCTATCTCAGTCATCAGAGCACAGGATCTGTGATAGATTCGAAATAGATTAGTAGAGTATTCCACGTGCCCATCCATCACATGCATGATTCGTTAATAGCACCATACGATTAGACGTACTATATAAGGTATGCACGAGTTTTGCAAGCCAGCATGACTTCTCACTTCTGTGAAACACTGTAAACCATTCCGCATAGTAGAGTATTCC